CCATTGCTCCCGTTGATAGTGAAAGTCACATCTTATGCCAAACGCTTAAAAAATATTTTTACCAAATTGTTAACGCATCTCATTTTAAAATTGATATATAATGTCATCGTGCCTTCTCCTTTTTCAAATTATTAACGAATTCTTTTCCCATATACTTTAACTGATTTATGTTCTCCCGTGTTTAAAAAAGGTTTTTCACCATCTACCTCCCATTCATCGTACATATGTTCATACAGAACATCGAATCCTTCCTTGTCGTAAATCTTTTTTGAAAAGTTTGATGAACCTTCCCCTTTGATATAAACATTGTCGATACCGAGGTTTTTGACCAATTCCATTGCAGCGTGAACTATCTTTGAAGCAAAGCCGCGTCTTTGATATTTAGGTGAAACAACAAGTGACAGAAAATGAAATGTCTCTGTAACGCCGTAATGATCAAAGAAATCAGCTTGTTTGTCACAGTACTCGGTAAAATCTAGAAGTATCTGCAACTCTTCTGGAAGCTCGACACCGAACTCTAATTTGTCATCTTTTAGGGCATATCTAATTGTTCTGAAGCCTACAGCTTCGTCTGTGCTCTCGTCAACGAGCATAATGGAAAGATTGAGCTGAAGTGCCTCCAGCCAGTAAGCCTCTATTATCTCGTTCCATGTAAGACCGACAGATTTTGAGAGTGGTTCATTAGGCAGGAAATGATCACGACACAAATTGACAGCTTTTTCATAGTACTCTTCAGTAATACGAACTAATCTGAAACCTGGAATTGGCTCAAATTGATTCAACGTTTTCTCAAAAGCCTGCAAAGAAGAAGAAAAGTATTAAAATGGATGACAGTCATAGACCGTTTCACAATCAAAGCTGACAACGTACTGTTGATTAATAGAATGAAAGAAGCAAGCGTTAGTGGGCCACCATGTGTTCTTTATTGTTATAAGTTACGACTGTAAATTTTACACATTTTTTGACAGTAAGTCTTGGCAAGTCTTTAAATTGATAGGTTCTAAAAGATATAGGAAATGATTGATAGTTTATCACCAGAAGCGTCTATGCCTACTATTTTGTTTCTGATAACTTTACTAAGTTATTTAAGGTATCTTGTTTTAAAGATAAATCTTCGTCTGACTCCTCTATCTCGACTCCTGTTAAAAACCATATTTATAACATAAGTGTTGCCCTAGAAGGAATTTTGGTAGGCTTAACCTCTTTTATCATGTGGTTATGATGGTGCTGATAAATTTGAAGAGGTGGGACTTTGAAGGTTTTGTCTGTCATAATTGTATCAGTATATTTCTTTTGCATGATATTCCGTTAATGTCTAGTAATTATTTTAATTATACTTACATAAACTTTTATTATATAGCCTAATATGACCTTACATGGTGCTATTTCGATCTATTATCCTGAATATGAATATATCCCGATCAATAATGTTTACAAATTCCCCAGGTGCGGGTAATCTATATGAATTAACAAAACTTAATTTTCTAGTTGTCTCCCCTGGCCTCTTTGCTCACGTAAACATTTAAGAATAAAAATATGTTTTACTATATTTAAATGTTGTTTCAATATAATAAAAAAATAACGCATGTTTCTCAGTGTGTTATTTTTGTTCTCGGGACATGTGTTTCTTTTATAATATCCAATATTAATCTGATAGCTTCAAGTTTGCTTTAATATAACACAACCCTTGTAGTTTATTTTTCTGTTTAAACATAGTTTTTGTCAGTATAAATTAACAACTACTAATTTTCATGTTTATATTAAAATGCTCTGCATAAACTGTGACACATTCTCTTTAAATTTTAACGTTTACATATTTACTGTCAGACTTCACGAATAGTTATATCGTTTATCCATTATCATTAAAACGAAAATCACTATCAATGAAAATACAATCTTCAAACAAGAAACTATTAAATCAGCCAATGAAAATGCGTTCTATAAACTAGGAAACTATCGATTCAACTAATCAAAATTATTCAAAATAGACTAATGTCACACCGACCAATTTCTTTATTTTAGTCAAACAGATATTCAGATAAATAAACTTTAAAAAATATTCCTAAATAAAATTGATAATAATCATGTTGTCATAGACTTAATTTATACGTTTTCTGGCTGGACCTTATTATTATAAATGTGTCAGACGAGTAAATAACAATGAATATGTCAGTGACCTGGCTAAATGATATTTTCCATATGCTTGCATTTAAAAAATCAGCAAACTGTTCTTACATAATCAAAATATATATAACGGTCAGGAAAAGTATTTCGAAAGAAGAAAATGAAAAAAATAAAGCATAACAAAAGTTTTGACTTATGAGTAAACGTGAAATATAATGTTTAAGTTTAACAATACATTTTATTATAATTAATTCTACTTTTAAATTCATCAAGTTAAAAAATAAAAAAAATACCTTTTGAATTTGATCCTCTGTTAGATCCTTGAGGGAAACAGTCTGCGATTTAGACATCTTTGTGTAACTTAACCAACATTAAAAACAAATGCTATAAGATCATTTAGCGAACTACGATACATCGAGCTATCGCGCGCCTTTTTATTCTGCACAAATGATCGAACGTTGTACAGAGAGTTTACTTTGTAGCACACGGTCATTTTGAAGCACACACATAATATCGTATACACTTAAAGTACAAGTAGGCTATAATCTATATATCACTTGAGTCAGAACAATAAACTGCGTTTATCGATACGGAAAGTTTATATTCTAGTTCACTTAATGCTTGCTAAAAAGTCGATAAATAACATCGCTTGTTAAAAAAAATAAGATCGTCTGATTTAAGTATTTAGCGTCTGTTATATTTCGTTTTGTTTGGTAAATGAAAGGCCTGCTGTATTTTACATGTTAACGTTAAACTGGCTACTCTTATGAACACGTCATTAAGGATTATTATTCAATCCTCCACACTCAAAATCCACTTGATATCGTAATGAACAGTTGTTTAACTTACTACTTTAAGATGGCTTCTTTCAGCCTGGGTTCCAGTCTGTCGATTTTTTAAACTTTTTTATGTGCTTCTGTCTACAAGATGATATTATCAAAAACACGAACGAGTACGAAATAGCGCGTATGTTATGAATAAGCAAACAATATGTTATAAATAAGCAAACAGTATGTTATGAATAAGCAAACAGAATGTTATAAATAAGCAAAAACTATTAACGCCTGAATTCCAGACCAGGCTTCTGTATGACTGATGACACTGTTTAAGGTGTAGATTAAAATCATAAGTACCTATATCATAAAAAGTAAATTAAAAGTATTAACGTTTCCGTTTTGAACAGAAGTAATAGAAAATTAATTTTGCTTACTTTGTATCTCATTATCTGTATAATTCATTAGGATGAGATATTTTTTACAGAGATTGCTGCCTCCGGTTGGTGGTTTGAATTTTTACGTGACTTAACACGGTTTAATCTGTCTGGTTTCAAGCATTCATATTTATTCATCCAATATAACAATTTTCGTAATTGATGTTGTATAACTATATTGTTTGAAGATAATTGTGTTTTTTTATTCTTTTTGGCTTCAATGCCAAAAGTCACTCATTTGCCATATACTTAAATTTTTATTCAATTTGTACAATTAAGGTAACTAAGTATGTTGTATGCGAGTCAAAATACCATTTTGTTTACATTTTGCTTTTTGATGACAAGTTATTTTACATACATGTTTAGTGCAACTTTTCTGAAATGATAGGCATCTAACATACTTTAAACAACATAAAACAAAATGTGCTGTTTCTTAAGAAGGAAAATGTATTCATTGTGTGAATTTATCTTAAATAAATTAATCAAAACAATTAAACTTTTTTGTTTGCTTTTAATTATTAGATATAAAATGAGATTATGATTACACATTTATGTGTATCCCATTTTCGGATAAAGAGATCGGTTTCGTCATGCTTTTCATGTGCCAGTGCAACGCAATTTGACCGTAGAAACTGCCATTAATGCAGAACACAATTGTCACATGTAGCCCTAAGTCACGAATATAAAAACATGCACAACGGCGCATGCTCGAGTATTTTTATTCGTTAACTAATGTCTTCTTCTCTGTTAATGTGTGTGCAGTTTTTATGCAACAATGTTGGATATGAAAGACTATAAAAACAAACAAACCGCTCATTCATTTCATGCATTTTCTATAAACTATATAGGTTCATTTTGAGCTCGCGTCGGTCACACATTTGCACAAATTTGGCATTACTTTTGCAGAATTTCCTTTTTTACAATGTTATGCTATAATAATGGGATACACATGGCTTTCAAATGAAATGTTCTTCCACCGAACCCTCATTTATTTTATATATGAAAACACGCCTCAATTTTGTATATTTAAAGGTATATATGTAAGTTGGCTATTTATCATTCACGAATGATGTTTATCGGGTACGGTAGAGTATACAAAGTTTACTTTGTAGCACACGGTATTATATATTGTATATCATATCATATTCGTATAATACTCTATGTATTGCCTTAGTTATGTACTGAAAGTTTTATCCTTATACTGAAAATTGGTCCTTACTCAGAAGCAAATAGTGTAGCCGCTTTTTTCATGAAGAGACCAGTGCTGATAGTGGAAATTGTGATTGACGGATTTTCATTAGCCGAGATCAGGTTACAACACCAATTAAAACTAAAATGTACAAGCAAATATTAATGTGTGAAGGCTACTTTTTCTTGAATTCGTAAACCTTAAGTCTAGATGTAAAGGAAAGGACATGTTCTATTTTGAAAATCTTGTCGTACAGATTTCGACAGACCTCCCACAATGACAAGTAACAGATTACCAAATTATCTCCTGATAATGGGTGTAATGAATGAAATTCCAGAACAATTAGGGCTAAAGGTAAACATAGAAGAATGATGGGTTAAAATGATGTTGAAAAACTCTTCAGGAGACCCAAAGTTGTGGTAATTTCGAATCCCAAATTGTTCCGAAAATTATGTAACGGTATTGAACTGTTCTCTAATCAGGGGCGGCCAGATAGCTCATTCAGTAGAACTGCAGTACGGTATTCCGAGGGTCCCAGGTTTGAGTCTCGGTCAGGCTGCACATTAAAAAAAAAGTAACAATTAAAAAAATGGAGGTGTTTCAATCATTACTCGTGGAGAGAAAAAAAATTAGTGAGTAAAGTATGTAAGGGATCAATTGTGAGGGAACTTTTTTAGGGAAACGTGAGATGATTCCTACAATGCAGAATTACGGTCTGAATACAAGTGTTGTATTGCTTTGAAAATTGTACATCGTATCTCTGATTAGTGTTGTACAACTAAATCTTACTGTTGAGGCCTTAAGATGTAAAAGCAAATCTTACTATATGAAGGCTATAATTTCTTGAATTCATACAAGGTAATACTAGATTTTCGGGATAGGACATGTTCTATCTCTTAATACTTGTTGTTTAGACCTCCCACGATGACAGATGACATAGTTTCCAATGATCCCCTGATAATGAAATTCCAGTGAGAGAAAGCCAGCTTAAAATGTATTATTATTTGATATGCATTGGAATATCACTACAATTAGACTTAATCTAAGGAATTTCTTAAGACTCAATTTATTGTAATGTGTTTAAATTCCTATTTGTTTTTCTGTAATACGAGTACACCATGTATATCCGAAATACTTTTTTTTGAAGATTTGTGTAACTGAAGTAGTTAGAAATTATAACAACTCAGACATTTCTAAAATGTTTATTTGTACTTTCTTATAATGAAATTCAATGCTATATACCAGCTTTACATTTACGAAATATGATGTCTAAATTTTGAGATTTAACGCTATTCAATTGCAAAGTATTAAATGCTATCGAAAATGATTTTAAAGCTGGCACAAATTTCCGGTATTCGTAAATACAACATGCATATATATTTGTTAAAAGTCTTTATAATTGACAAGTTAAAATTAATTTCCGGTATTCGTAAATACAACATGCATATATATTTGTTAAAAGTCTTTATAATTGACAAGTTAATCAGTTAAAGTGACATTGTGTTTCATTCAAAAATCGTATGGTAGTCAATGACCCA